GGCAAAGCCTGTCGTCACAGGGGTTTGGCACAACCAGGGTTCTCCTGGAGAACCAAGGGGGTCAAGGCACCTTGCGCAAGGATTTTTGGACCAGACAGAAAGCACTTGACCGGGCGGCAGGTGGGAGCGTGTTTGAGATTCTTGCCAGTCGAATAGGGCTTACTGTGGGGCAACAAACATGGAGCCTCCGAGGCTCCCTGTTACCCGACAGATATAGGAGTCCTTCAGAATCTGCTGTGGGCCTGACAGCCGTGGGATTCCTTGGGGGGAAGAGAGAGAGGATTTTTACAGAAGCTGCTGTGGGTTAGCAGACGTGGGACCCCTGGGGCCCGCTGCAGCCCAACAGCCATGGGAGCTTTAAGGTTTAAGAGAGATGAAAGAGAAGAGGAAGCCTTTAGAGTCCACTGTGGCTGTGAAGGCCAAGACGGGGTGCGTTCCCCCTCACCCTGGGAACTGCCTGACGATCAACGGAAAGGAGGGACTGCCTGACGATCAATGGTCAGTTCCCCCTGGGGATCCTGGGCAAGTTTCAGGCTTCCGTGTCTGGGGAACTCACCTATCCAATGGTCACTGGTGGATGCAGTTCATGCATTCAAAATGGTGGGGAAGGTCCGGGAGGGCTGGAGTGGCCACCGGCACTGGGTCAGGGATCCCGTTTATGGGGATAGACCCGCACAAGGGTGGGAGAGCACCCAATCTGAGTCACGGCACCAATGAAAGAATTTCAGCACCAGTAATGACTCCACACCCGGCCAGGACCAAGAGATTTATTAAAGGGGGCTGTCACAGAGAGGATCTGTAATGGAGGAAAAAAAAGAGAGAGAGAGAGTTGCAAGGAGAGGGCTGTATTTATTAGCCTGACAGGGACCGGAAGGGGCCGTGCTATGTTTCTATTGGAGGAGCTGCATGGGAGCAGGGTGGGGCAGATGCCGTGTTATAGTCCTATTGGATGCATAACAAAGCTGGCTATGTTCTGGGAAAGGATTAGAGGCTTACAGGTTTGAACTTCGTGCGTGTGGGGAATTGTGCACAAAGAAGCCGGGACCTAGGGCCTTTGTTGTCTGGTGTGTCCTCACCATGCTCGGCACCATTTTGGGAACCGCCCCTCTGGTTGCTTCCTGCACCCTTCAAAAGTGATGTAAACTCTGGAAGTACCTAGCCTATGGGGAAACAGGGGAAGGACTTGTGTTGTTGTAGGGCTCAAATACTCTGACTGAAACTGCTTCAGCGTACCTATTCATCCAAGAGACACCCATTCTTACAAGAGCGTTATAAAAAAGTTGCTTCACTCTACTGGTCTCCAAGTCTCCATGTCATTTTTGGACGACCCAGTCTGGAGATGGGGATGCCCCCTAGGACCCTCATTTCTAGATATGCAGGGCATTGTGAAAGTTATGTTATAGGGAATCTATATTGTGTTTTTTGAAAATTATGTTGAATTTTATTCTTGCAAGCCGTTAAATTTCTGGCAGACCATTTTGTTTATTTCAGACTTGGTTTTATTTTTTACAAGGGCAGGTCTATATTCATTTTATTCTTAGTGTTAGGTCATGGCCTTTGCTTTGAATGTGGCCCATATGCCTAAGGTGCAGCCTTTCTGAAGTCACAATTGAATGTCTAAGGTTTTTCACAAAATCTTTCTATTCCGGATCATTTGGAATTCCAATATACCCCAGAATTGTATGTTTTCTGGTATCTCAGCCCATAATAGTGCTCTATTCTATGTTTCTTAGTCTCATCCTTTGACTGTGTAGCCAAAGCCTCAACCAAGAACTGGGAAACCACTGTGTAGCTTTCTTTTCCCTGGTGCCCTGACTCACATATTTCAGCAGCCCCAAATAACAATTTGCTTCCTCAGCTTAAGAAGACAGCCATGCTTCTGAAGTGCCACCTCCATAGGCTAGAGTCTAGAAGGTACTCCCATGCAAATATCCCAGGCTAAATATGGGCTCACTTCAAATATTTTTCTTTCAGTTACTCTATATGGTTATGTACTATGTGTTGTTCAAATGCATGGAAACAGTTCATATTTTAGTTCAGTTTTACAGTCACACTGAAAGGGCTATGTTCAGAACAAATTATTTCATTATGACTAGAAGTGGAATGAATCTTCTTAATGTGAGCAATATATGTTTATTTTAAGCATTGCTTTTTAATTCAAAATACTCTTAGACTCTCTTACTTCAACATAAATCTATATAAATTAGTGTTCAATTACTTCAAAATTTACAACTCTTATACTTGTATTATTACTCCAAACTCTATACAGAATAGCCTGCTTACCTTAAGCAGGTCTTGATATCTCTATGGTCTTCTTCTCTCATCAGCTTACAAAGAGCCCTGTTTTGTGTATTCCCGAGTTGGGGGCAACCGAACACCCTTGAAGCAACCTATAGATTACTGTGACAACACTTTGATGTTTGAAGCAAGGTTTGAAAGTGGTAATCTACAGAAGGTAGTCAAAGTGTACGTTTTTATTATATTTATTTGAGGAGTTAGTCCATTAACTATTATTTTCTGTATCAGGTACATTAAATTTCTTAGTATCCATTACTAAACAGCAATTTCTTAAAGTATAGATGCTAATTAGATATTATTATGGGAGGTATCAAATTTGAGTTCAAATAATTTTGAGAAGTATGAGTTAAAATTAAGCAGGTTTCTGCACTCTACATTTTCAACATGGTAGTATGAGTTGTCTCACACACAGTGCTTCTCATACTTTTTAATGGTGTAGTTCTTGAGATCAGTGTTCCATAAAAAATCCCAAGGACATTCTTTTATCAAAATTATGGAACTTTAAAACACACTTAAGTACAAGGAGTAATACAGTTCTACATTCATTATCATATACCCATCACCTAGTTCAATACCTATCAAGGTTTTGAAACATTTATTCCACCTTTTCCTAGGCTTTTATTTATAACCACACATTCACACACTAAATATGTAGTACTGACAGAATAGAAAATTGCTTGGTAAAGAAAAAGACTCCCAAACTAATCAGGTAAGATTGTTGTATATGTATAGCATTCCAGTGAAATTATTTTTACCTTTATTTAAACATCTCCAATGACTAAGTATGGGGATGCAAAATAGTTTTCATATGCAGTTCTTGTCCTCAAGGAGTTCACATATGTGATCATATTAATTTATATATGCTTTTAAACCTCTCAGTGATAGATATATATTCCTAGAGTTAAAATCTAATAGAAAATAGAAATATGTGACTGAAGTAAAAAATGAAATAATTTGCTTTAGTTTCAGTAACTCTTTAATTATTTCTTTTACAGAAAATATAGAGTTGAAATATACAAATTATTATCAAATGCCTGTGTTTTGTTTGTTTCCTTGAATTACAAAAGAATGCAAATGTTTTAGAATTAGCATAGTAGCAGTTTCTCATCCAACAAAAAATGTCAAAACTTTTGAGGTTACTTGTTAGGTACTGCCTAAATAAGCATTATTTCCTTTAAAAAAAGCTTTCTATGACTAGGAAAAAATATAGTAATTCCTTATTTAGTTTAAAGTCAAATGTCATTTTTCCATTCTTATGTGCTTTTTCCCTTTTTCTTTCTTGCATATTAGGGCAGAATATGAATACCAATTGACAGTGCGCCCTGACCTCTTCACAGATAAGCACACCCAGTGGTACTATTTTCAAGTCACTAACACCCAAGCAGAGGTAGTCTACAGATTCACTGTTGTCAACTTCACTAAACCTGCTAGTCTCTATAATCGGGGCATGCGCCCACTGTTCTACTCTGAAAAGGAAGCCAAAACTCATCATATTGGCTGGCAGAGAATAGGAGACCGAATCAAGTATTACAGGAACAATGTAGGGCAAGATGGACGCCATTATTTTTCTCTTACATGGACATTTAAATTTCCACATAACAAAGATACCTGCTACTTTGCTCACTGCTATCCCTACACTTACACCAACCTGCAAGAATACCTTTCTGGCATCAATAATGACCCAGTGCGGTCAAAGTTTTGCAAAATACGTGTCTTGTGCCATACGCTTGCTAGGAACATGGTATATATTTTAACAATCACTACCACCTTGGAGAAAACTGACTCAAGAAAACGGAAGGCTGTGATCCTTACTGCAAGGGTTCATCCAGGGGAAACCAATAGTTCTTGGATCATGAAAGGCTTTCTAGATTATATTTTAGGAAGTTCAAGTGATGCACAATTGCTTCGGGATACTTTCATCTTCAAGGTGGTACCTATGCTGAATCCAGATGGCGTGATCGTGGGAAATTATCGATGTTCCTTAACTGGACAAGATTTAAACCGTAATTATACATCTCTCCTGAAGGAATCTTTTCCTTCTGTGTGGTATACCCGGAACATGATCCATAGGTAAAAGAAGTTTCAGATTATCTCTCTGCTTATTTAGTAAACTTGGTAGTAAGCATTTATTCCCACAATTCCACTCATTTTACTCTAAACTTTCTTAAGATATTTTACTGTGTAACTGCTTTATGTCCCCCTTCTTTCCAGCTCTGATTCTATACCCTTCTGTATTATGCCATTGGATTTACTAATCTTTTCTTAATTAATGAAATAATGGGTCTTATTTGACTTGAAAAAATAATACCAAAAAACATGGCTGAAATAGACTCCAGCCTGTTTTGATGACTCTGTAAAACTAATTCAACTGGCATATCCCAAATTTGGTCTCTTGCTAAAGATAGTGGTATCTGACATTTATGTTGGGATCCTTAGAGCCCTTATATGAGGGGCGACTCCCAAAAACCTGGAACTATCTTTTGGAGGGCAGACCCATGCTGTACACTTGGGACTTATTCCTCTGGATCAAATGGTCAACCAAAGTTTTTATCTGGAAGTTTTGAGAAGGTTGTGCCATGATTGGTGGAATAAATGTCCCGAGTTGTGACTGGTTCTTCCACCATGACAATGCACCTGCCCACACCACACTGAGTGTTCAGCAGTTTTTTACCCAAAACAGCATGGCCCCCATGCCCCACCATCCCTACTCCCTGATCTTGCCCTGAATGACTTTTGTTTCCCAAGATTAAAAAGTCTTCAAAGGGAAACATTTTGCTGATGTGGAAGAGATGAAAAAAAAGACAACTGAAGTACTAAAAGGCATCAAAATTTATGAGTTCAAAACTGTTTTAAGCAGTGGAAAAAGCATCTTGATAGGTGTATTGCATCAAGCGGAGAGTACTTTGTATGTGACTGAAGTTTAAACATGCACAAATAAATGCACAATTTCTTATAAATAAATTCTGGGTTTTTTGGGGTCCCCTTCATATGTGAAAATTAATTATGTCTCACAGAGCCTTCTGGCACTATTGATCATACTTTGTTCTATGAGTCTTTTGAGTATCAGGTTACATAATTATTTAAACTTTTATGAATCACAGTCCCATTTGCCCCTAGAACAAAGTTTTTCCAAAGAATCTAGAATAGTAAAATGCACATATTACTTATTGAACAGCTGAGTTAATTTTTTGTTGGTGCAGGTATTAACACTCAGGAGTAGACATGTGCCACAGTGGAAAAATAGATTAGTGTCAGAGAACACCCATTCTGAATTCAAAGCCTTGTAATCTTTTGGTTAAGAGCACAGACTTTGGAGTTAAGCATATCACACTGGAATTCCTGCCATATCATTTACTAACTGTGTGGTAACTTAAAAAACAAAGTCTCAGTTTTGTCATGTGAAATCAAAATAATAGTACCTCAAAGATGGGAGAATTAAATGTAAAATTACAACTAAAGTCCTCAGAGTCAGATCTGGGACACTGAAAACTCTACATTTATTCACCGTGTTTCCCAAAATGTAAAAAGAAAAAAAGTGTTCAATTTTAAGCAGATATGCATGTGTAAACTTGTTGTGAATGATTTAGGGTTATTCACGTGTTAGAATAATCAGTGCTCTTCTAGGCAGGGGGACCCACCCTTGGGCTGGGGACTGGTACCAGTCCCTAGCCTGTTATGAATCAGGCCACTCAGCAGGAGGTAAGTGGCAGGTGCGGGGAGATCTACCTCCTGTCAGATCAGCAGAGGCATTGGATTCTCATAGGACCACGAACATGGGAGGGATCTGGATGGTGTGCTCCTTATGAGTTTGATTGGCTATCATCCCCCAGAGGGGGATGTAACAGGGTTCTTGTGCTTGCTTGTGCGTGGAAAAATTGTCTTTCAGGAAACTGGTGCCCAAAACGTTGAGGACCACTGTAATAGGGAATGCTTATATTCTCATATGCTTTGTTACCAGGCAAGCATAAGAACCCTATTACAAAGCTGAGGTCCCAGGGACACCTCCAGGGACTCAGAAGAGCTGACAGGTCTGAGAAACACCTGCCATGGCCCCAGTTGTTAGTTCAGCCTCATTTTTCACTTTAATGTTAATCCTTTTATCTGCTTGGGAACATAGGGAGTAAAGTGTAGAGCTGCACGACAAAGACTGAAAATCCTGGTGGTATACCCCCCACAAATGTGAACTCCGGGTTCCTTGAAGGTATTTGGGAAATGTTTGAGTAAAAAATAATAATAATAATACCTGTGATCTCTTTATTTTTCTGGGAATGGCAAACAATAAAAAAGGAGCTGTCTAGATCCAATGTGGTATCCTGGATTGAATCTGGGATAGAAAAAGGAGATGAGTGGAAAAACTAGTGGAATCCAAATAAAGTCAGGAGTTTAGTTAATAGTAAGATATCAATGTTGGTTTATTTATTTTTAACAATGTACCATAGTCATGTAGCATGTTAACATTAGGGAAAACTGGACAAAGGATTGAAAAACAATTTCTACTGTTTTTGCAATTTTTGCATAAATCTAAAATCAAGTTTATTTTATTGATATATGTATACAAAATACACACACACACATATATATATATAAGCTCATGGGATGTCCATTTGAATATTTGTATTATCTGCTTAGTGCTCTTTGACATTAAGAGTCCCTGGTCTGACACATGATGGATTACAGGTCAAAGACCCTTGGCCTGTCTGTATGGAAACTATTTTAAACATCTCAGCTCTGTTCTTCTCTAATTGCCTTGTAAGATGGTTAAGACAGAAGTCTTTCAGCACATTTTTAAAAGACTTCCAAGAAGGAGAAATACCTTAATGCAATTAGTAATATGCAGGTAAGTGGGAAGTCAGTCATGTACATGTGGAAAGGTGAGCAGCTGTAAGTGTATCTAAGTTAAGTATATTCAAAATATATTTGAATAAGAGAGGAAGATCTTTGTATAGGGAACCTCGTATTACATACTTGGAATATCTTTTTACCTGTGGTTTAAAAGAAAATCCAAACTGTTTCCAAAGTTATTTAAATTAATATGAGATAACAGACCCTAATATCCTGTTTCATTTTGGAAGCAAATAGCATTTCTTTGAGAATTAATTATTTAGAAGCAGTTTATTTTTACTTACTTACAAGAAGCTGAAAGATTACTAAAATCGGGAAATTTTTGGTTTGTACAGTATGTTTTTCTTATTTAAGAACTTGATATTGACTTATCTGGTTTTCTAGAAATTTGTAATGATCTTTTAGTGACTTTGTCAATTAGAATTTATTAGACACCAAATGAGAAAAGCGTAATAAATTAATACTTATAACAAATTTTACTTTGGGATTTCCTGCTAGTTTAAAGGAATAATGTTTCTAATAGAAGAAATATGTTTGATTTTCGCTTTTAATATTTTTTGTTATAAACTAATATATTTCATATTATAAATACCATTGCTAACATTTTGCTGTTTATCTTTTCTGAAATAACTAATAGTCTATAATTTTGATTATTTAAGTAATATAATCAATCCTACCAGCTTAACATCACCACCTTTTTACCTTTTGAAAGCCTCTTCTATTCATCATTTTCCTCAATTAATTTGGAGGGGTTATTCTTTGTGTTTTTATATTCATTGGGTGTTAAATTATATAGAATAAGGATTGTGCTGGTAAAGAGTATGTACTAATTTCTTTAAAAAACATATATATATATATATATATATTTTTTTTTTTTTGAGTTGAAGTCTCACTATGTTGCCCAAGCTGGAGTGCAGTGGCACACTCATGGTCACCCCAGCATTAACCTGCTGGCTCTGATGATCCTTCTGCCTCAGCCTTCCAAGTAGCCAAGAACTTCAGGTGCCCAGTACCATGTCAGGCCAATTTTTTATTTATTGTAGAGACGAGGTCTCGCCAAGTTGCCCAGGCTGGTCTCAAACCCGCAGGCTCAGGCAATCCACTTATCTTGGCCTTCCAAAGTGCTGGGATTACAGGCTGAGCCACCAAGCCTGACCTCTTTAAAAATATTTATTAGAAATTTACCAGAAAAAAATCCACTCAAATTTTAATACCATTTTTTCCGAAGTGATATTAAGCCACCACACCAAGTCATCAGGCACTCAGTTTTTAACAAATATTTGAGTACTTATTATGTGTATAAAATAATTCTTAACCTCACCCTTAACAAGCTTAAATATAAAAAATATGAAAACTTTCCTAGGCAAGGATCAAACAAATGGTCCACTGCAATATTAAGTGCCACTGGAGTTCAAAAAGGAGGAAACTCTATGGCCCTGACAAGTTAGAGAAGAAGTAAGACTGAGGTTTGTCTTGAAGACTGGGGGAGGGAGTAGTATTTACATTTACAAAAGTGAAGAAAGCAAAGTATTCATTCCATTAAGAAAGAATCCAGCTACTTGGAAGGCTGAGGCAGAAGGATCGCTGGAGCCCAGCAGGGCGAGGCTGCGGTGGCCCGGAGTGGCCACTGCACTCCAGCCTGGGCGATAGAGTGAGACTCCAACTCAAAAAAAAAAAGAAAGAAACTATGAGAAAGGTAATAGGCAAAAGCAGGAGTGAGAAAAACAGAATAATAAAACAGAGAGATCTTGTTGGAGAAGATCTTGGAAGCAAGGTAAATTTTGTCCTTTTAACAGAAGGCTACTGCATTTAGATTTTTACATATACTTAATAGGAAATGGTTATGGATTTTTTATTATAAAGATGTAGGGTACAATTCAGGGTTAAGTATACAAACATTTTTAGAGTTGACCATGCAGGTGTCCTTGTTGATGAGGTATGCCTTCTCTCCCCTAGCAGTTTCCCTCAGCCCTACCCCCCCTCCCCTGACAGTTTCCCACTATTGCCAATTCCTTTCTTACAGTATTATAATTGTTCAAGTTTCACTTAGGAGTGAGAACATATGGTACTCTGTTCTTTGTGTGGTAGATCACTGAGTATGATCAACTCTAAATCCATCCAAATTGTTGCAAAGTCCATATGTTTGTCCTTCTTTATGGCTGCATAATATTACATTGTGTATATGTACCACATTTTTTTACCCAGTCCAGTTTCGAAGGGCAACATGG